TGCCACCAACAAATCTATATCTTCTGAAAAGCAATATGTTTGTTTATTTCAGAGAAGTTTGGAAACTATTATTGTAGACTAAACCAGTGGTGTAGTGTGGGGGCCTCAGAATCACCTGGAGGATTTGTTTAAAGTGCAGAATCCTGGGCTCCATTCCAATATTTTGAGGCAGGGTCTAGGGCATAGATTTTTAAGGAGTTCTCTCGGTTATTCTTTTATACACTGAAATTTGAGTGCCTGTTCTCCAGATTTCCGAAGAAGACATGGGTAAGGAAAAAAGTATTTGTGATACCTAGGTTTGACTAAGCAGTCTTTGAAATCACAGTGAGAAATTTTGAACTCAGAAATAGATGGTGTAAACTTTTATGGTTATGACAAAGGTTCCTACATGGTTTTACAGTTGGGGAGGCTGGGGATGTGGCTCGGTAGTAGAGCACTTGCCTAGTGTGCATGAGGTCTGGTTTTGATCCCCAGCACTGTGGGATGGTGGGGTGGTGGGGTGGTGGTGGAGGGGGTGGAGACCACTCTAAAGTAGACTTCTGAGTTGAGGCTAATGCCTTTTTTGAAGTACCCAAAAGTATACCCTCAATATATTTACCCCAATCAAATCTTTGCTTTTTAAAACTACTTTTACACCTTCTATATTCATCTCTTGATGATGTAGTTCTCAGTGGGGCTCTTCACTTAGGACTTTACTGTACCAAAGATTGTTGTAGTGCAAAATTAAAGTCCTTCTTGGGCCTTATGTAGGAGGGACATATCAAACCCTTGGTATTGGCTGTGATATGAGTTCCATATAGTTATATAACAAGTAAATATGGATTAAGTAACCAAGTTTTATATTCTTATTTCCTGTTTTTTTCCAAATATGTTCAACTTTTTTTTCTAAGAATAAATTAATGAAACTTCTTAGAAATTAGTATTTCAGTATTTGAATTTTCTCATTTTGCATCTTCACTTGCAATTCAGAGTTTTTTTGGTCAGGGCATATTGCTTAAGTTACATCTATAGATACCAGTGGCATAAAAATTTACAGAATGCTTTAATTTTGCAAATTGTTTGTTGGTATGTTAGTTTTCCCTCAGTATCTGAATAAACCACATTTTTGTGCTGTTAGGGAATTGAGATTGAATTAAATAAAACAAAACACACAGCATTTCTAAAATATTTCATAATGATTTGTAGAAGTGGATAGGCATAGATTTTTGTTAATAAAACTAGTCTTACTTTTATAAATTTGTTTTTTATAGCATGAGATTTTGAGTATATTTTTCAAGAGTCAAAAATGCAGTCTTTTGTGTTCATATTTGAAATCTGTTTTACAATAGATTTTTATACTCATAAATCAATTTTCAAAAAAGCTCATTTGAAATAAGAATCATAGACCTAAATACAAAACATAAATTTGCTGGGTATAGTGTTATTCAGCACCTGTAATCCCAGTGACTTCGAAGGCTGAGGCAGGAAGATTGCAATTTAGAGGTTAGCCTCAGCAACTCAGAGAGACCGTGTCTCAAAATTAAAAATAAAAAAGACTGGGGATGGGGCTGGGGTTGTGGCTCAGTGGTAGAGTGCTTGCCTTGCACATGTGAGGCACTGGGTTCAGTCCTCAGCACCACATAAAAATAAATAAGCAAATAAAGATATTGGGCCCATGTATAACTAAAAAATATTAACAACAAAAAAAGACTGGGGATGTGGTTCAGCAGTAAAGCACTTTTAGGTTCAATGCCAGTACTCCTACTCCAAGCACTTTTTAAAATATAAACAAAAGTGTAGAGAGAAAATCTTTATGACTAGGTTATGCAAAGATACAATAATAGAACTTAGAAGAAAAGTTAGCACTTAGAATAAAAAATGGATAAATTGGACTTTATCAAAATTAAAAATCTGCATTTTGAAAAAACTCTTAAAATGGAAAAACACGCCACGGGTTGGAGAACATCTTTGTAAAACACGTCTGATGAAGAATTTGAATCCAAATATATAACGAATTCTTAAAACTCAGTAATAAAAACCAGGCATGGTGGCTCGCACCTGTAATCTTAGAGACTCGGGAAACTGAGGCAAGAGAATCGAATCACTCAATCTGTTTTTCAAAATAGGCAAAAGCTTGGAATGGATACTTAAAAGAAGATACATGTACCTTGTTAGTTCAGTCATTAGAATACAAATTAAAACCATATGAAGTACCAATATATACCCATTAGAATGGCTAAAAAGCAAAACACACGGCTGGGGCTGGGCCTCCGAGGTAGAGCACTTGCTCAGCATGTGTGAGGCACTGGGTTCAATTCTTAGCACCACATACAAATAAATGAATAAAATGAAGGACCATCAACATCTAAAAAGAAAAAAAGTTAAAAAACAAAACAAAAAAAAAACTCCCTAAAACCACAAAACCAAATGCTGGGCAGAATGCATTGCAACTGGAATACTAACATGTCACTAGTGGGAATGCAAAATGGTACAACTACTTTGGATAACGAATATTTTGAAATATATTTGATCTAAGTCTTTATTTCTTAATGTACAATTCCTAAAATACTTCTTGTATGCTAAAGAATTGAATGGTGACTGGCAGTCCCTAGTAGCTTCAGGATGGGGACTGGTCATAGGAAGCCCAAGGCATGGTTAGAGAGTTGGGAATTTTAGCCGGGTGCAGTGGCTCAAAAGGCTGAGGCAGGAGGATCCCAAGTTCAAAGCCAGCCTCAGCAAAAGAGAGGCGCTAAGCAACTCAGTGAGAACCTGTCTCTAAAGAAATACAACATTGGGCTGGGGATGTGGCTCAGTGGTTGAGTGTCCCTGAGTTTAATACCTGGTAACCCCCCCACTCCCACCCCCCAAAAAAAGAGAGAGTTGGCAGTTTCAGACTGCTCCTCAATTTCCAGGAAGGAGCAAAGGGCTGAAGGTTAAGTTGATCACCAATGATTTGATCAGTAATGGCTTTCTAATAAAACTTCCAGTAAAGTCCCAAAGCCTGGGTTTGGAGAGCTTCCAGATAGCTGGCACATCCTAGAGGATGGAACGGCAGGGGAGTGGAGGAGTGCTCCTCTGCCCACCCCTCACCCTGGGCCCCTCTTCATCTCTATTTTTTGTGCTATCCCTTTTAAAAACTAGTGACTATTTCACTGAGTTCTTTGACCCACTCTTGATAAATTAATCAAATCCAAAGGAGAGGGGCTTGGGAATCCTGATCTATAGCCATTCAGAAGCACAGATAAAACAACCTGGGGCTTGCAGCTAGCATGGAAGTGAGTGCAGTCTGTAGGGCTGGGACCTCAACCTGTGGGGTCTGTTGCTATATCCAGGGACATAGAATCAGCATAGAACTGAATTAGCAGACACCCAGCTATCGTCTGCTGTAGTATGTGGGGAAAATCCCCCGCACATCTGGTATCAGAAATGTTGAGTGATTGTATTGAATTGAGAGTGGAGAATAGGAAAAAACACTTTGGTATTTCCTCTATATCTCAGAGTATGGAAGGAAAGACTGAGCTTGTTTTTCCAATATCCTCAGAATAACCATTTGGCAGTTTCTTAGAAAGTTAAACATATACTTATGTGGTGATTGTAAAATGTGTCCTTGAATTCTTTGACACGGCCACAAAACGTCGAGCTAAATCTTTCTGTTCTTGAGTGTCAGTTGGACTTAGTGACTTGCCTCTAATGAATGGAATGTGACAGAAGTGACTGTGTGTCATTCTGAGACTAGGTCATAAGAGGCAGCCTCTTTCTTGGATCACTGGGTCTGGGAGAAGTCAGTTGTCATGTCAGGAAGGCGGTCAGCCTATGGAGGGCTCATATAGGGAGAAACCTAGGCCTCCTGCCAGTAGCCAGTGCCACCCTGTTATCTAAGCCAGAGGTCCCAATAGATCAGAGTCACCCACCTGCTGCCCTGGCTGTCCTCTCAGAGTCATGGTGAAGCAAGAAAGGATTTATTATTTAGTGGCCACACCGGGAAGAAACAGGGACCTGTGTCCTAATCCCGGTTTTGGGGTGCTGACAAAAGCTTCAGGACTATATCATGAAGGACAGAAGCAGCGGGTGGCGGGGGCAAGGAGTTTGTGTACTCAGGGACTCTTGGTTACACTGTGGTCTGGTTCATGTCTCAGGTCAGGCACTGAGGGATTCTGCTGGCTCCAGGGAAATCATCCTTCTTGCTTGAGGGAGCAGTTCAGTTCCCATGACGAGATGGTTGCTCCCACTTGGGGGACAACCTCAATTCCCATCATGGAATACCTGGGGGACAGCCTTCTTTTCCATCATGGTTATCTACCTGCAAGATTTGCTGTTCCTGGAACCTTGAAAATACTTTAGTTGCTCTTAGCTTGGTGCCTGCAGCCTTGGCATGGGATGGAGAGGTTAGGTAAATTAACCTTGCATTACCAGTTTTTAGACAGCTACTTCTTAAGTGATTAACATGTCTGTGGGCAGATTTGAGCAGGAATCTGACCCAAAGTTCAAGGCAGCAAAGGAGGCAGATACAGAATGAAGGCAAAGATGCGAGGCTTTTATCATGCTTTTATCATGTTCAAATCAGAATTATATACCAAATGTGTAAATTTATTGTACATACATTATATCTCTTTCTTTTCCTCCTCTTCTTCTTTTTTTTTTTTTTTTTTTTTTTTTTTGTTGTTGTTGGACTGGGGATGGAGCCCAGGGCCTCATATATGCTAGGCAAATGTTCTACCACTCAGAGAGGGTTTAAGTTGCCCAGGCTGGCCTCAAACTTGTAAACCTCCTGCCTCAGCCTCCCAAGTCACTAGGATTACAAATGTCTGCCACCACACCTGGTCATAAATTATATCTTAATGAATAAATCTGATCAGCAAAATTCATTTAATGAAAATGATGAATAAACCTAACAAAGTGATAGATTTGGGACATATCTATAGTAATGCTACAGAACTTGAACTAGGAACGCTTCTGAATTGATAATAGGCAAACCTCTGAGTCATAATTTACTGAAATGGAAGTACTTTTCTGGTTTTTAGGTCTTATGAACTAACACGGAAGGACCGACTGTACAAAAACATCATTCGAATGCAGCACACGCACGGWTTCAAGGCTTTCCACATCCTCCCTCAGACCTTCCTCTTGCCAGCTGAGTACGCGGAATTCTGTAGTAAGTGCTTGGCTGAGAATGCCCCAGCCCCTGGGCCTGATCTTGGGGCACATTTACCCTAGAGACACCTCATGATGTCAACCACCTGGGGCTTTTCAGTCTTCAAACAATTGTGGTTCTCTAGTAAAACAGTTGCAGAGATAACTTTAAAACTATTTTTATTCTGATTGTGCACTTGTACATTTACTCTTGGTAAATGTATGTAAGGCCATATTGGTGTCATAGGTGTACCGTGTCTTGGGACTTTGCTTGTCTCTTTACCAAAGAGAGTTAGTGTCTGTGTAGACACTTGAGACTTTTGCATATGAACCACAATGCTTCCTTTTTTKGGGGTCTCTCTTTCTTTTGCCATCTAAGCATTGTTCTTAGCACATTGATTTCTGGATTTGTGTGATTTATGTTCTTTGAGGTACAAGATCATATATCTTTTGATGTTAGGCTTTGGAAGTGCCAGTGAGACCCACCTTCTCTACTTTGAATTCAGACTGATAAAAAAGTACACATAGAAGTCAAATAGGGATTTAAATGTCAACTGTATTACTGGTAAAATGATGTAGGAACATCTGACCTAGATCCAGGTCTAAAATTGGCTTCTTATTTCTTTTGCCTCGTTGTAACGTTATCTACCTAGACCCAGGCCGAAGAGCTGGGCTATTTCAGATCCTCCTTGTGGGCACAGCCTGACTCTTAAGAGTAGGCTTCATGCACAGAAGAGACAGAAATACAAAGAGGGTCTGAGGCAAGTCTGTGGAGAGAAACTAAATAGTCAACATGATAGTCGCTAACACTTGATGAACATTGCCTTTCTACTAGGTACTTCTTTAAATCCCTTTATCTGAGGGAGTTTTAGAGATGAGACAAAGGTATATATTGGGAAGGAATTCCCCCTAAGTTCTGCAGCTTGCACATGGTGGAAGTAGGAATTGTGGTGGTCAAGCTTCAGATGCCATCTGTCCATCCCGGTGCTGTATTCCGAGACACCCTGGGTGGCATACCTGCAGTGATCACTCCCAGCTTGACCACRGAGAAAGGGCACTTCTGTGAGGAGCGTCAGGGGAGACACACAAACAGGACAAACAGAAAGTTTCTTCTCAATAAGTCCAAAAGAGAGACTTCCTCTTTTATGAATGGAGGAAGTGGTATGGAGAATAACAGAGTTCTTCCTAGTCTCCCTGGCTTTGGGTTCTTCTGTTGGGCTTGCCAGTCTGATTGGGTCATCTGATGGGTGTTCATCCTTTGGAAGAAGAGAGCAGTCAGGAACTCTGATACCACTTGTGACTCCAGTGGGGACCATTGGCTGGCAGTTCACTGTTGGCCCATAGAAGGCTCTGAAATGCGTCATATAGCACACCAAATAAATAAGTTGAGTTTCCAGCTATAGTACACTCAAAGCTGAGCATTTGTACTCAGTAATTTTTTTGTTGGGTACAGTGGTGCATGCCTGAATTCGAGCTCCTCAGGARGTTGAGGTAGGAGGATCATTTTTGCTTGATTGCTTGATAGGTGCTTAGTAAATATGTATAATATTATTTCCTATTTCATGTTATGTTTAATTATATTATGTAACAAAAGTAAAAAATTATGAAGTAAACCAACATGACAGTGCAAATATGTTTCAGCTAACATGTCAACAATATAAAATGGTTCCAGATATGAACTCCACAAGTCCAGAGTAATTCTCTATGAAAGCCTAAATTTTGTCTTAATCTCCCTAGCCTTCTTCCCTGGTCTTTCTTACTCTGCTGAAGTCCTGCTACTCTGTGGAGGTGAGGGGATGGTGCCTTTGGGTGACTGACAATCTGAGCTCTCAGTGCAGGGGCTTCTCCAGCCTGTCAGTCCCACTCATGTGTGTTCTACTTTTTAACAAACATGAGTTCAGAAGGTCAATAGAACACGGAGCATTATTACAGCCCTGACCCAAAGCTACCACATGTAGACTCTGCAAGTGCAGGCAAGTGGTTGAGGTTCCCTGATGCCTGGTACAAACCAGTCACTGTTGTCGCCACCCAAAGACCACAGCGCAGGTGCAGACATACTATGCCTGYGGAAGAGAGGACGGGAGGACATGAAGTAAAGAGGAATCTTCTTGGCTTCAGTCTTCCCAGCATGCCAGGCATTCTGTGTCACCTGTCCACCATCTGTTGCCTTTTACACTAAAATCCATTTGAGAGAAATCCAACAGCATCAGATTGTGTGGCCAACTTTAAATATTAGAGGGGAAAACCACCTTCTCTTTCATGGAGACATTTTTGGTTAAGTCTCTTTTAAGTTCCCTTCTTTTCCTTTGGTGTCCATCTAGCATATTCCACTTGGAAATTCCATTTTTTCCATGACTCTTGTGTTCCTGAGCCTTAGTGTTTAATTGAGTATGGGCAGTAGAAGAATTTTTGAGAAGGAAGGGAATTAAACAGACGGAACTTGCTTTAAGAGCTGTGACGGTGACATGGCCACGTGGATGGGCAGTGTGTGGACTCCACTGTGCAGCCAGGTGGTGGGAGAGTGGAGGATAGTGAGGCTTGTTAGTTGTGAGGGTGAGGCAGGGCCTAGGATGCCTCAGAGGTTGAGTGTGAGAAAGCTAGGGGATTGCCAAGTTACCCTGACTGGCCCAAACTTTTGGGCTCAAGCAGTCCTCCTGCCAGTCTCCAGAGTGCCTGGACTTCAGCCTTGTGCTACTGTCCTGCCAGATCATGAAGGTTTTTTTTTTTTTTTGGATGGTGTTGTGGGTTGAACCCAGGTCCTCACAGGATCATTAAGTCTTTAACAAGGYGACATAACCAGGCACATGAAGGAGGAGGGGTTACAGGGCAAGAGGCGGTTAAATGTACACATGGTATGGATTTGAAGTGCCTGTAAGKCAGACAGGTAGTGATGTTTTGCAGGCAGCCATTAAATCAACTTTGAGTTTGGCCAGAGACATAGATTCTGAAGATTGCAGATGGAAGAAATTACTGAAGAGAGAGAAAAGAAAGAAGAGAGAGAACCAAGGAGGAGAGAAAGACGAAAGAGGAGCAAGGGACAGAGGTCTAGAAGAGTAGGAAAGAGTTTGTGGGAAGCTTGAATAGAAGAGTGAGCTGTGGAGCAGGAGGTGCGTGTCTTCCCTAATGGGAGGGAAGGAAGAAGGCCACGTGCTGGTCCAGATAAAATTTTAGAGGGAGAGGAAAGCAGGTGAGTGGGGTTAGGGTAGGGATTCCCAGCTTCTTACTGAGGAGGACTGTGAGGCGTTGTGTCAAGAGTGAAGGGCCTGCAGGAGGGCTTGGGTTTCTGCAAGGGGCAGAAAGGGATTGAAATGGTTCCTGTAGGGGCTTTGAATGAGAATTGATGAGGATTGAACATGAGGGTTGCCCAGGAACACTAGGGATATCACCAAGGGGATCTTGTGAACTTAAGTTTTTGTCCTAAGAAGAGAAAACCTTAATCTGTCATTGCAGAGATCTAGTCCAGACACCAGCCATTGTGTCCAGAGATGTAGAGGCCTGGGTATTCCCTAAAGTGTTCCCAGTAATTAGAGCCTCCGGATTGGAATACACTGCAGGCCTTCTCGGGCTCCTGCCTCCCCTCGCCACTTGCCCTAAAGGGTAKCTTTTAAGCAGAAAGAAGATGGGCTGACACCAGTTTAAAAAAAAGTCAAACTTCCCCCAGAATTATGCTCTGTGGCCATCTCTTGTTAGAAAAGAGGCTGAGAAATGATTTTAAGATCTGTGCAAAATTTTGATATTAGCTAATTCATTACAGATACCTGGGATTTTAAAGCAGTGAGTAAATTTCTGAGATCATAACTTTATAGAGTTATAAGAAGTCTTAGAACATCAGATGAAACCCCTTATTAAAGAACAGAGAAGGCAGTTTACACAAATTACCTGTGTTGTCATATACTTGGAAAGCTGGTGGTAGAAGGATCTTTCTCCTCCTGCCTCGTTTCTCTGTTGTGTTGAGCACGCTGCCCCTGTAGGACAGCAAGGCACTGCAAAGTCTACAGAGCTTGTCTAGAGCATCTTCATCCAGGCAGACAATCTAGTCCTGGGCTCTGCCTTTGCCTTGAATGTTTCTTGCTTCCTGCTCACATTTTTAGCACTTGTGAAATAAATTGATCCTTATTCAGAAATATCACAAACCAAGGTGAAAAGCCCAGCATAGAAGACAAGTCTTTGATATTTAGAATTTTGACAACATGACAGTAATGAAGCAGATTGATTATACACACGTTAGGTGGAACACTYGCATGTGGCTGGACCTTCCCCTCCCTGGGCATGCTGTCTCCATTTTTATAGCACCAGACACTTCTTCACTCTGAGTCACTGTAATTACTTATTTCATGGCTGTCCTTCTGCTAGTCTATCTTTGTGAGGACAAAGGCCCACTACTATATGACTCTTGCTTAGCAAACTGATGGACACAAATTGGATATTAGAGCTATTGAATTAACGAACGAAGCTTAGAAAATTTTTACATTTTTGCTTTAATAATAAAAGCTTGTCCTGTGTTCACTCAGTCCATTGTCTCAAAAATCTGGGGGAAATGGCACAATAAAAAATAGACTCATTGGCCTCATTTTACGGAGATTTGACTTTTTGACTTCTCTAACTATAAATCTGTCTTCTATAGCGGGACTTTAAAATTACATGAATTGTATTTTTAAAACAGCAATCAGTGAAAAGCCTGTCTCCTCCTGTGTCTTAGTCACCTAGTTCTCCCTAATTCTAATCATGTCCTTCTAGAGACATTGTTGGCATTTACTAGCAAATAGTTTGTGTGTGTGAACAGAGGTGAGCATAAAATTCACATTGTCTTGCATCTTGCTTTTTTCACTGACAAGTCTATCTTTGCAATCATTCTGTATCAGTTAATTAATACTGTTSTCATTTTGCATGTTTAATATTCTATAGATCAGGCTTCTGCAAACTACAGCCCTTGAGTCAGATCAGTTGTGCACCTGTTTGGGGGACATCCCTTGAACTAAGAGTGATTTTTATACTTTGAAGTGATCGGGGGAAAAAAATCAAAAGAAAAGCAAAATTTTTGATGTGCAAATTGTATGAAATTCAGTTTGTACAAAATAAAGTTTTATGGGCACATAGCCACGTCCTTTTTTTTTTTTTTTTTTTTTTTTTTTAAACATATTTGCTGTTTTCAGGCTACAGTGGCAGAGAGTGTGCATGGTCCACAGGGCCCAAAAATGTTTACACCTGGCTTTTTACAAAAAGTTTGCCGACCTCCCATGGATATGATATAGTATATTTAATTAATCTTTTGCTACAATCATGCAGCATTCTATAATCTTACACATACAGCATTTCATATGTGTATGACTAGAACGAGTAGTGGATTTGGTTCTGGAAGAAGAACTCTGAGGTTTAGATTCTGTGTGGTACACGTTTTTTTCTAATTTTGTTAAATTGCATCAATAGGGAAAGGCAGGGGAAGGTGGGGAAAGTGGACAGAGACTTCTTTTCTGGTGAAATGGTTTGTAGCACTAACAAACTCAAGTTCCTGTTGGGAGGCCTCGAAGAGACTATTTGGCAGGGAGAGGGAAGAAAAGKAGGCAGTAGTTGCTGGCAAGTGACTCAGAGAGGGAAGCTGTCCTGGGACTGCTGGCGCAGGCTGCCTGCTGCAGGCCCCATTCAGGACAGGGGGAAGTGGTGTGCTTATTTGGGGGAGGAGAGTTGTGAATAAGCACACAGGGGGATGCACTTGCCTTTTAATAACTCAAACCAGAGAAACATAAACTTTAGGGAACTTTATTGGGATTATGCTCTTGTGTTCTAGATAAAATGGTAATACTCTGATGTAAAGCAACTGAGGTACTTTGAAAACGGAAGTTTTGTGTGATCTGCTCTGAAGCACTTGTATTTATTTGCAAGTTTATTTATTTCTTAACAAATCTATTCTTTTCCTGTCTATTCTTTCACAGAAAGAAAAATATAAAGAAACAACAACACATTAATTTCCATCTTTCACTGCCACCCCCTGCCACCCAGCCCCAGCCCCTACTGGAGAGGGCTAGTACACCCCTCTCTCTAGGCTGGGATATGAGAACTCATCAGCACCCTCAGTCCTCTCCTCCCCATGTCCTCTGACACTCCCCAAGTGAAAGACAGAGCCATCTGCCCCCACTCCCTAACCCTGTGCAAGCCTTTGGGATTCCTATTATCAATTGTCTGTTTTCTTCTCATGACCCAAAGATGTTTAAAGTGTACACGTGAACTTGGGGAAGGACGGAAGCAAATGGTTCYTTGTACCCACCTTTGAATTATTGTGTGTCCTCACCCCTTGCAAAAGTGCAAGGGGATTATTTAAGGGGATTATTTTTTTGAAAGCTTTGAGAAATTATTTGAGGAATGTAACTATACCAGATCTTTTGACTTGCATTGTCACTGTTTGCTAAAGGTCCTTTGTTTAACAGAGAATTTCAGATTCCCAAAGGTGGTTAGTGACAGTAATAGACTCAACACAGAGGTTTGGCCTTGTTTTCATCCTCTTATTTAAGAAAGAGAGGAAATGGTGGAAGAAATAATTATGTGAGTAATTTTGCTATCCTCTTTTCTCCTCCTCTCCTTCTCCCCTTCTGGCTATTTTACTTTTTAAGGCTAGTCCGAAATTACAGATAATTTTAGCTACTGCCTTCCAGCTAGAAATTTGGAAGCTTCTTTGGGTACCTGAATAGATAACCATTATGGAAACTTAAGATAATAAACTCATGTTCCTTCTTTCTCTTTGTTTCTCTCTCCCCTTTTTTTATCTCCCAATATTTGAGCAGATTCATATTCAAAGGACCGGGGACCTTGGATAGTAAAACCAGTGGCCTCTTCTAGGGGGCGGGGCGTCTACCTGATCAACAATGTAAGTATGCAGAAGATGGCAGACCCAGTACTCACGTGGTTCCTTCTCTTTAGGAGCCCAGGTTTCCTCCTGAAATCTGCATTCAAAAGTGAGCAGAGGGTGGCCTGAGCTGGCTGTTGCTCACCTGCTGGCAGTAACCTTCCTGGGCCAGAATACTCTTCCAGGGCTAAAAAGTCACTTGATCAAATACAGGGAAAGGCAGCCTTTGTTGTTGTTTTTTTCTGGTCAGCAGAATAGAGTTCTCTTTTCTGCTTTCAGTAGCATATTGTCATGTTATTTCCTTAGCACTGTGTTGGTAGCTCATACCTTTAATGGAGCAGCGGGTGGGTTCCTGCTTTCAGAGGTATCCAGCCACTTAACCCTTCGTGGGTGTGGCATCCTTGCCGCTGCTGCGCCTTCCTCCTCCCTTCCTGCTTTTCTTCCTTATTCTCTTTTTGTTTGTGATCCTGGGGATTGAACCTAGAGCCTTGTGCATATTAGGTTTCAAAAGTATCTGTACCTTCAGTATCTTGATTCTTTGCAGAATCTCATTAAGTGTTGTTTTAAAACTTTATATTTATATAGAATAAATAAACTCCCAGCTCTATGCTCACTCTCTCTCTACTTAACCACAGTAGTTAGTAACTTAATCTCTTAAGTTTGATTAGTTTTATTTTTATATTTAAGGGTTATATATGTTCTCTTCAGTAATTATGATTCAGTTTTTCTCCTTTATAAGTTGAGTAGAAATTTTTAGTAGGAACGGACTTTAACGCATTGACACTCTGAAACTTAACCTATATTTAAATCCATTTTCTTTTTTAACTTTTCCTCCTGGACATTTGGTGGACCCTTTCATTCTGAAAATAGTGTTTTTCTTTTAATTTGGGGGAAATTATCCTTTTATTTTCTGTCTCTACTTTTACAACTCCTTTTCAAAGCATTCTCTGTCTTTCCTTCACATCAGATTTTTTTTCCCCTCATTTTTAGTATTTTGTCTTCTCCGTTGCCATCTTCTGGGTTACCAGTTTTAGCACTATGCATTTTGTTATTTATTTATCCATTGTATTTTTATATTGGCTATCATGTTAATTTCCAGAAATGCTGATTTTTTTCTTTGTAACTAACAGCCTGCCTTTGTTGAATGGATGCAGTTTGACCATCTGTCTTTCTGAGGATTGTTCTTGAATTTTCTTTAGGTTTGTTTTTCTTCTTGCTGTTAAATTTTCTTAATTTGAATGATCCTTAGGTGTTGGGCCTGCAGGACTCTTTCCCTAGCTGCCCCTCCCKGGGCGAGAGCTGCCTGCTTTCTGTGTGAGGGCAAAGCAAGGTGACTGTGAGGCTCCCCTTCAGGGGCATGTGGTTGAGGGGTGGGCGAAGGTGTGCCTCTCCCTGCACCAAAACAGGGCAGTCTTGAGGGGCTGTGGAGAGATCTTGGTGAGTTCCCTCTCCCCTAGAGCTGCCTTGCTTGCTTTGCATACCTTTTGCTTCTGTGGGGATAGGATGGCCTCAAGTTCTCCTCTCCTCCATGAACCCCCTGCACCCACAAAAGATGTTCTCCTGAAAGCACCATCTGTAGGTTTCATCCTCTGGACAAAAGCTGCTGTTTTTGGTATAGGAAAAGGCCGCCAGTGCTGTTTGTGAATTAATTATGTGATTCTTGTTCCTTGGCCACCCGTTCTTCATGTTTGTTGGCTGCCAGCTTGGAGCTTTGCAGGGGCCTCCTTGGGACAATCTCTCCCCTCTGGTATTTTGGGCTCAGGCTTCTTCCGCTGTTTTTTCAACCTGATTCCATCTGCTTTCTATCTTTCAGGATTTCCTTAAACTTTGGTCTGTTCTGGCTCCTTTAGCTTTTTTCTAGTCTTGTTATCAATTCATTCTTTTAAAAATATCCTTCTGTCCTTCTAGTGGAAGGGAGGATTGGTGGGGTAGACACATTGTGTGTGTGGCCAGTACTCCATCTTAAATTCCCCAGTTATCTTTTCACATTTCCTATGTGTGCAGAAACAAACTTCCAGAGGGGTCTTTCACTCTAGAAAATCCTCAGATTCAGTCTGGACTCAAAACTATACAGTAAACAATGGTGGCGAGACCTTTCATGCTAAATAAATACATAATCTGGTTTTGACAGAGCACCTACTCAGTGCCAGGCCCCAGCTATAAATCCTGTTACCTGACCTGGCTCACTCTGGAGACATTTTAGCCTGGTCATATGCCTTGGCTTTCTTTTTTTGTCTTTCTGACCTTGGCATGAAGGCTCCTGTCCCACAGCCTCTCCTTTAGCTCTGCGCCAGGAGCTCCAGTGTTGTTTGAATCTCAGACGGTGCTAGTTTGGGTTTGGGTTTTTGCTGCCAAATGGAATTGCTATTGAAAGTCAACTATGGTACAAGTTTGCTTTTTATTTCTTAGACATGAGTCAAAAAGAATAGGATCTATTCCCAGCTCCTCTGGGACTTTTTTCTTTTGGAATGCTCTTCTGCCTTAGTGATTTGTTCTTTTAAAGCTAACATCATAAAGAATAGAACAGTTAAACTTGCCTTGGTGGGACCAAGAGCCCCGTGTCCTTACTCTTCACTGATGCCGAGGCTCATAAAGGGAATGACATGTCTTTAGAGAATGCAGGCTTGGCAGGCTCTGAGTCTTTCCCCCTCCCACCCCTCACCAGACTGAATCCCTTGAGACCCCCTGCACAGATCAAAGCTCTTGGCAGGACCCTTCATCTTGCCCCTCCCCCTCTGTGAAGCTTTGGAATGAATCTGATTCTTTTAGGTATTTAGTGGAGGTGCCAGACAGAAGCCTGGGGGGGTGCCAGCAGGCCGGAGGGGAGCTGGGAGGGGAGCTGGCAGCGAGTACACCTAATGGGAACAGATTCCCATTTCACCCCCAAACTGGAACTTGATCACCTTTTACCCAGACCTACAAACCATGTAGTTAATGCTCCTCTCTCTCCCCTTACCAGAAGGCCTACCCATCCCCTCTTTTCCATACCTGGATCCTTTCCCATGGAATATGTGACCCATTAGCCAACTGGATGAAGTAACTCTTTCCAAGGAAAGCTGCCTGCTTTCCTTTCAGATTTGAGGGGAGGGAGTGTGCTGAGACAAGGGTCTGTGTGCACAACTCCTGAGTGGGTGAGGGACTGTGGGGGGAGGCACAGATTTAGGCCTGAGAGCCAGATGGAAACATCGTGCCCTGTCGTCCCCCGGGTGGGAAAGAGCCTCTTATTTCAGCTTTCCTGTAGTAGTCAGAACCTTTTGGAAAATATCTGCAAGTAGCAACTAGGAACATGAGTAGAACAGGATAAAGGACAGGAAAAGCAGGACTTTCATGTCATACTGAGGAGACAAGTGTGGACTCCTGTGATGGACACTTCTTGACTGGTTGGCTGGCGTGGCCTATTAAGGATATGCTCTTTAACTCCCAAGTGCAGCATAAGGAGCAAAATGTCTGCTTCAGCTCCCTCAGTAACCATGACTAAATGCCATGTTTTCCCAATTTAGTACATTCCGCTCAAGGAGGGGAAAGACCTGGTGTTTTCTGATGAAGGTATGAATTTGATTATGGACATCCAATTCCATCATCCTTGTCTGGCACATTATCCATGGTAAATGTAGTATTAATATAATCCCTGAGATCCTGAAGGGTTGGAAGAGGGTGAGGTCACCCTCTTCACTCCTATAAGTGTGAATATAAATTGGTACTCTCTTATTTCTATTAGTTTGTATTTTTTTAATCTTATTTCCTCTTTTTCTCATTATTTAACAAGTATTTAGAGAGTGCCTGCTGCCCGCCAGGTGCTGTCGATCCTTAAAACATTCTGAGAAATTCTAATTCTTGAATATCTTTATTATAAGTCAGTGTACTGCTTTGAGTAGAATGGCACATGTGTGTGCTGTAGACTGTGGGATTTAGTAGTTAGAACACACAGATACCGTTGAGTTTGCAGTAATGATTGTATATTTAACATGTGCCTGCCATTGTGCCTTCCAAATATAATCTCATCTAGTCTTCATGAAGAACCCCATGAGGGGTGGTTATTACTGTCTTAGTAAGTGTTAGAGTCAAGTTGGTAACTCAAGTCTAGCTAGTTCCAGAGTATATATTCAGTCTTAATCCCTGTCCTGTACTACTCTGCAGTAACTTAATAGATGCTGAGAACTTTGATCTTAAGGTCCAGTGAGGAAAAAAGACTGTTTCCAACTTCCCCAACAATTCAGATTCCTGCTTTAGCCTATTTTGGAAGGACATTTTTAGCTGAAAATTGAAATAATTTGATATGAGTTAATTGGGGTTTGATAAAAAGGAAGTAGGTTTGAGGGTGTTTTATTAGTTCCTCTGCGATGTACACTACCAAAGAAACCAGTCCCAACTATCCTTTTATCCTGAGAACTTAAAATTTAATTCCTCATACAGATAGAAAGAAGAGGTAAAGACATTAGAACAAATATTAAAGTTACCTAGTTAACTGAAGGGTTTATGCTAAGCTCAACTGAATGGATAAATGGATCAATGTGAACAATGAGGATGGGAGGAGAGGAAGTAGATATGATGGGAAACGAAGACCCTAGGAGTGTGTTCTCTGGTCCAGAGGACAGGTGAGTAGGTCATATGTCTGTTATGGCCTGTAAGTGTTACTCTGGGGAAGGCTGCTGAGATTGATTAACTCTAGGTTTGGAACCCAGCCTTTAGATTACCTCTTTGTGTAATGATTGCATCACTTCTTATTCTGTAAGATGACTCAGAATGGAGATAGTGCTTGTGAGAAACTGATCAAGAAATGTAAGGAAATCAGGAAATGGTTGGGTGGTTGAGTGCACTAGGGGTGAATCAGTACTGATGTCATTGTGTTCATATGATATACAGAAATGGGATGTGAAAGCTGCCTTCTGACTTTGAGGCAGCAGCAGCAGGAAAACTCATCATCCTAACTCCAGGGTTGCTCACTGTGGTTGTGAATAATGTCATGGGTTATAAAATTATCCTTATTTCATGAACAACAGTAGTATTTGGGATCGGAAACGCTTTGTGACATAGAAAAATTTTTGAATTTGGGGATAATTATTTTGGCTCAGACTATTGAGTAGTGCTTAAAAGTCTACCTCTGAAGCAGACTGTCTGGGTTCCAATGCTGCTCTATTGCTTATTAGCTGTGTGACTTGGGCCAGGTCCCTAACTTCTCTGATCCTTTCCTTATCTGTAAAATATGGGGTTGTGTGAGGATTGAATGAAATAATATGTGTGATACATTTAGAACAGGTTGGCACATAGTAAATACTTACTACTTTTACCTAATTTTAATTGTTTCTGCAAATGTTAGCTACTACTGTAGTTATTATCATGGTAATTATTATCATTGCCAYTTCCCTTTGGAGCTCTTTTGTCCTGCATGGATTGACTTGCAACCGACTTCTCTGTCTTAATCTAATTACACATGAAATTGTTCTATTTCACATATTTTGATCTTGCTCTTTGACTCCAGTGTTCCTGCTTCCTACCATGTTCAATCTAAATGACTCTTACTAGGAGTTCAAACTTATTTGCTTTTGCCTCTGGGATCCCTCCCTCCTAGTTGTCTAACCATCCCTTCCTTTATTTCTCAGTTTAGTCTTCTAAGCTCCAGGCCCATGAATCTGTCTACCCTCCTGTCTGCTGACCCTTGTATATGCCATCTTCCCATGATGGCGTCCTTTCCTCCCTACCTTGTGCCCACTCACTTACTTCTTGCACCTATTCTTACTTCTTGCACCTATTCTTCCAGGGCAAGCCTTCCCTGAGTGGTCCTGCCAGATTGGTCCACTTTACAACCCAATATCTTGTGTTTACAGAATTATTGCTTTTTGTTCTTTTAACTTAAATATATCACTACCTCTCTGCAATATAATTGTAATATAGTATTTAAACTCTGGGGGTAGAGGTACTGAGTCTTAAGTTCTGTGAGGGCAAGATTGTATCTATTTTCTTCATCACTGTAACCTCAATGCCTCACACAGTGTTCAACATCACTCACTATTATATAAACAACTTTTTTTTTTTAATTAAAGAAATCTTTAAAGATCTAGCTCAGTCTTTGCATATAGTTGCTTGGGAAGTGCCATTCACCAAATCAAGCAAACACTCATTGCATTTCACAGAGGAAATGCTGGGATCCAGCAAGGATAGTAAGTTCTCTAAACAACTTAATGAAAGTCTACACTTAAGAATAGTCCTTGTGCACCTGGCGCAGTGGCACGCACCTGTGATCCTAGTGACTTGAGAGGCTGAGGCATGAGAATAGTGAGTTTGAGACCAGCATCCACAGCTTAGCAAGACCCTGTCTCAAAATAAATAACAAAAAGGACCAGGATGTGGCTCAGTGTTAAAATGCTCTTAAGTTCAATCTTCAGTACAAAGAAAAAAGAAAGAAAAGAAATAGTCCTTGTGCTTTAAAATTATCATTGTACTTTTACATTTTAAAAGAGGCAAGCTTTTATTTATTTTTTAAGTAACTCATATTTTCTTGGCAAGTAGCTATTTACCATGCATATAAATCTTTAAAGCTCTTTAGGCTGTATTTATTGTGTGAGAAGTGCTATGTAATTTTATTTTCTCTCCTTTGCAATTGAATACCCACAATGTTTATAAAAGTTGTATGTTATGTGGCCAAAAGAATATGTGGGTATTTTTGGAGGAAAACTTTTCCTAGAGTTTTAGTTTTCCACATGATCACTTTTTAAAAGGGTAAAAAGTTTATTATAAATTAGAATTCCTGAGCATTTGTACCCTTTCATTCTTTTTCTTTACTCAATAGCCAAACCAGATTTCCCTGGAAGAGAACATCCTGGTCTCCCGTTACATTAACAACCCCCTGCTCATAGACGGTGAGTTGTGATTAAGCTCCTGCCTAGGTTGGGTTAGATCTTGCTAAACTTTTTAACCTTCTCATGGTCTTCTCTAGTAAATCAAAGCTAGTATGAAATTCTTGGCATCTATGGCTCCAGAGATGAGGCTGGTTTCTTACATACTACCAGGGATTATTCTGAAGATAAAGTGCGATAAGAAAAAGTGCTTTATAAGCTATAAGGCAATCAATGAATGTGTGTGTGTGTGTGTGTGTGTGTGTGTGTGTATATACATATATATGAAAACTGCCTATTTATTTATGTACATATATGCTATGTATATTATAGCATTATATTTATAGTACAGTTATTATTCATGCTCACCAGGCAAGGTGTGGGCACTGTGTGCTTCACATGGAGGAGTGGTCTTTCTTTTATAGTTCTTGGTTACCTTGTCCTGTTCATTCTGTAGCAGAAAGCAAATGAACTGTTTTTTCTGTGAATCCAACCTTTTTTCTAGATTTCAAGTTCGACGTGCGCCTCTATGTGCTCGTGACTTCCTACGATCCTCTGGTCATCTATCTCTATGAAGAGGGGCTGGCCAGGTGAGAGACTTTGTTTTTAGTGGAAGGGTCAGGTGGGTATAATAAAATAGATCCATCAAAGAGCTTTCCAAGATCAGGCTGTTTCTCTCTGTTATGTTCAACTCAGGAAATTAACCCTGGGAGACTTCAAGTAACAGAAAGCAGTCCTAATACATTTCAGCCTCATTTGCATGTCCACACAAAGTTTGTGTAAATGCACACAATTTCCAGTGGAGATGGAAGCCATGGGATGTTTTTTCCCAATGATGATTATTAGGAAGACCCTAGGATACTAAGATAATTAAGATAATTTCTCATTGTTCTTCAGAATATCCAGAAATTCCACACTTATTTGCCTTTCATAAATCAGGCGTTTGTTTTAATCCTGATAACAGCCCTATAGTTAATAGCTTTTTGCAGTTGAGGAAATTGAGACTTAGAGAAGTGAGGGAACTTGTAGGCCCTTTCTGAGATCTCCCTGCTGGGTGGTAGCTGAGCAGGGATGGGGAATCCATTTGCTGAACTGCCCATGCTCTCAGTTTCAGGGGTATGCTGCCTTTTCCCCTTAATATGCAAGTTACATACTTTGCAGTGGTCTCTTTTTCTCCAGGTGCCTTGCAGGTTTTAAGGTAATGAGACTTATGAAATTAGTATGAGTTATAATAATTTGGAGTTTTGTTTCCTATATCTACAGAATTTTCTAGGTGGTAGTGTTTCCATAAATAGTTTAAAATAAGTACATGACTTTGCTATGCTGTGTTCTTTCCCCCTACAAAACTTTTTTTTTAAACCAAAAGTTTTTTTTTTTTTTCTTTAAAAAGTGCCCTGAAGTTCATCTTATGTGCAGTGGCCTTGACTTTGTAGGACATAGCAGTTTTGGATGCGGTTTGCATCTGCCAGCAGTCATGACAAACTGAAAATCACAGTCTGTGCACATTTCTGTATTTGGAAAGTACATTTTGAAGATGGGAAATAGCACAGATAAAAGAAGACTGCCTATTTATGTACAGGTGATAAAGAAAATAGGTACAGTTTCTACCCTCATAGAACTTAAGATTTAGCATCCTTGTTATGCGTAGTGGCTTTGGCATGTTGGGGGTGCGCAGGAACTAACCAAAGCTCCTAGCTGGCTGAGATATGTCTGCCCTTTACCTCTAGGTGGCAATGACAGCATTTATATGCTCTGTCATATTCCTGACTTAAGATTTATGAGCCTGAACCCTGGAAACACGGGAGGCTACCAGAATTCCATAGTCTGGCCTCTTCGTCCCTTAAAAATGGAGAAGGGGGAAAACTAAAACATTTCCCAGTAGTTGGGTAAATGCCTGGACCAGGCATCTGAGCATGAGCTGACTAGTAGCTCTAATCAAGTCTTTGTAGGAAAGGCATTTTTTATAATATTTATAGGTGTGTGTGCTCTCACATTTGAGTATAGTCAGACAGACTAGGTTGAAGAGCCACAATCCCATATTATCTAGGAAAAAAAGAAGGTAAAAATATACCCCTGACTTCCACTCAGGGATATAAGGTATCCCCGATTTCAGTTTTGTAATTTGAGACTTCTGAGATCTCCCTCTTCTCTCAAGAGCTTCTCCACTCTCCTTCCTGCACTCATCCTCACCCCACCTGTCTCCTTGGTCCTACAAGTAAATTGTGTCCTACCAGAAGTTGGATTTCTGCAAGAGAGAAAGAATATCAAGATTGTTTACATGCACCGTTTTTCAAGCATCATAGTAGTGTGTTTTGCGTAATTTTTCCAGAAATATTTCACCCACATTAGTAGCCCTCCCTGTGGATAAAATGTGGGCATAGTTTTAAGACCTTTATGGTTCAGAGGACAAAATGAGGGCAGTACTAACATTTATTATAGAGAATAATAGTAGCATTATTTACTACAAAAAATGCAAATGCTTTGGCTACTGGTTGTGTGTTGGACACCAGAATCCACTGAATTGGAGTAACTCTTGCTTCTAGTAGGAATTTAAATGTATAAATACCTATGTGTTTGTTTATATACACATATACATATATACATAATATCTATTCATGTGTATATTCAATCAGTGAATACTTTTTCTTGGAATAATAGGAAAACAGCTGTTTAAATACTCAGACTGCCTGACCCCCCAAAACAACATGAATTTGCAAGGCTTTGGTTATTAGGTTTACCAGAAAGTATAGGTGAGTATCAAAACTTTACCAAAGGGTGGTCCAAGGCAGTGTGAGGAGTTGTTTTCCAGAGTCCTGTGAGGGCACATTGTTCTGTGCAGTGACTTCAATGGGCCTCAGTTCCTTTGACATCCTCGAGGTGTACCTTGGCACTCACTTGCTTCTTTTCCATCCTCAGAGTGTACTTGACTACGCCACTGTGCCATTATATTCGGCAATGGTCTCTAGCTCCTCCTGTCTGTAGCTTCTAGTAATCTTGGGTTATATGTGAAGGTAATCAGGTTGGGGTAAGATCACTAGGTCTTTTTACTCTGAGGCTAAACAAGGAAAACCATAATTTTTCCTAAGGAGACAGAMCTGGAGCCAAAAATAGTTTTATTCTTTAGAAAGGAAGGCCCTGATACCGTATCATTTCTATTTGGGGCTTCACATTAATGGTAGGTGATGGAAAGTTCATTTCACAAGAAAGTTTTGTGAAATAAGTTATTTTGTGTAAATTCTTTACCTTCTTACACTTACTGAAAAGAAGACCCTGGTGTGTTTCTTTATAAGTTAGTGTTTTCAGTTGTCCTTGTTTTATTCACATAGGAAGCAGAATTCTCACTGTTTTCTTTATGTGGGTAGAGTAGTGAAGAGCTGCAAGAATGGAATTGCCTTTCTGGAGTTTGATTTGGTGTCTTGTGTGGTGCCCCAGAGCTGCACCCAGCTTTCCAATTCCCTGTGCATGTTGCTGTTTTACACCAGCAGGGGACACTCGGTTTCCAAGGAGGGGTGCTGCTCTCACCAAAATGGTGGAGATTCCTTTTCCTTTCAGAGTGGAATCTGAAGACTCTGTCCTGGATTTTACAACTTTTGGTAGATCCAATATGGGGCTTAAATAATTTTACAAAGCACTTTTGGAAACAAAGCTAATAGCCAAATTTGCGCTGAAATAGGGAAAATGAAAAGTTAAAAAAAAAAATCAAAACAATATTGAGTTGAAAACCGTGTTATCAGAGACCCAAGATAGGTAGCAGTAGCACCTTGGAGAACATGAGAGTGTCCAGTGGGGAACCAAGAGCATTCCACCCACACTGTTGAGGTCCCCAGTTGAGGCAGGGGACCCGGAGAAGTTAGCAAACAGAACTGCTTTTTTTTTTTTCCTTCTGCCTTAGCCATATTATTCAGTGGAAGTGCAGAAAAGACCCCAAACATTTGTACTGCCTCCCTCTCCCCACCCCCAGTTCCTTCTTCAGTAGCCTTCTTTGCTAATTAACACTGGCTCCGCAGGGATATTTACCTTTTCTCTGCTGGATTCCTGTGGTTTTGAAAGAATTCAGGTACTCGCTGGTTGCCAAGGAATTCAGATTACCTCACAGGCTGCTCACTGTCCAGAATCTGCCACAGCAGCAAGTAGGGGGAAAGACACTAGAAAGGAGTAGAAACCCTTTCCAGTGCTCATTGTCACCCTCCCTGGCAGGCCCTTGCCGTTTGTGAAGTTTGAGTCATTTCTGGCTCTGAGGACAGAGGATCAGGCTGGTAATCCCCTCCCAGGCGGCTCTGCTGGGCGCTGCCGAGTCTCTGCAGCACTTTGGCAGCCTCCAGGCTGCAGCTGGTGGACAGCAGATCAGAGAGCTCTTGGGCCTCTTGCTTTCTTCCATAAGATTCTTCTGGGTCAAGCCAGGATGAAGCCCAGTGGCTCCTGGCAAGGCTGCCTGAGGTGCACCTCCTCGTCCTCCTCAGGGCCTCTCTGGCTCAGAATGGCTACACCTGCTGAGAGAGAACTCAGGTGCAATCTCCAAGGTCTTCTCCGGCCAGCCTCACTACTCCCTTTGTGTAGTGAATGTAGAAAAATAACTACCAAAGAGGAGGTCCTACATCTAACCTCTGTGACTCTGACTTAAGAGCATATGGTATCAGATTCTGAGAACAAAATAGGTTTTGTATAGGGGAAGAGAGTTTATAAGACCCCACTGAACCCCTCTGTTTGTTTTCCCATGTTGATAATGACCTTGAAACAAGCAACTCAGGTGCACTTTCAGTTTATGCTTATGATTACCTACTACAGATACTCCTTAATTAGAGGATTTTGTTCTTATAAACCCATCATAAACAAAAATGCATTTGATAATCCTAACCTGCTGAATACCATAGCTTAGCCACATGGTCTGCTGTCGAGTATTGGTTGTTAACCTCTTGATCGAAAGGGTGCTTGGGGCTACAGCTCATCATGCTGCCCAGCATCTCCAGAGGGCATTGTGGTGCGTATCATTAGCCTGGGAAGAGAGGAATTCAAAATTTGAAGTATGGATTTTACTGAATGCTATCATTTTTGCATCTCTGTAAAGTTGAAAAATTGTAAGTCAAATGAAATCTTTTCTTCAGACACCCACACATCTGATTTCTAGACTAATTATTACCATTGTTTTGATTCCAACTGAGAAAGAAACTTTAGAAAACAAAAAAAGTGTAGCTTTTGATTTAAGAATTTGTCAGAATAAAGATAATCCATATTTGTTTATAGGGTGGTTAAAAAAATAAAGAGGCATACGGTTCTGTATTCATCAGTATGCTGCCAAGTAGCATCCAGGGTTTCAGAATTAGCCAAAAAAGTAGTACCCACCCACACCCAACCCACCACCTTTTCTTGGCTTAAAGGTCAAGGCTGTGAAATTCTGTTAAGAGTTTTCCTAAATTTTCATCTCATTAAAAGAGAGATTCAAGACTCAATTCATCCTATAAATTTCAGCCTGTGTTAGATTAAGTAAGTATTTGAAGACTTGGTCCTGGGGTACCTATTCAAGTGTTTTCTCTTTTAGTTTGTTGCTAGTAAAGAAACTGTTGAAACTTTTAGACCTAAATACGATGAAATTTAATAATATGTGAAGGTCTAGTTTAAAGGTCAACACTAAATGCTCACAAGTACATTTGCTCAAGGCAGTTAGCCAGGTGGGGACTGCAGAGTGGGAGAGCACCTGTCCCACCTAAGGGAGCTTGCTGTGTAGTGCCAATAGGTCACTGATATTGGAATCACAGGAACTTCCATTTTTTTTTAAGGGAAAATGTTTTGTTGTAAAACTTAATTTTTTAGACTTTTAATTTTGAAACTATTTTGAACTTGTAGAAATGGGATAAAGAATTATCCTTTTATTCTGTGTCCAGAGACCCCATTTCATAATATGGTACTTGTTTTAATAATGTCCTTTATAACAAAGGGACCCAAGCAAGGACCACGTGTTGGGTTTTGTCGTAGTGGCTTTTGTCTCCTCAGTCTGGGGCAAGTCCTTTCTACAACTTTCACAACTTCAGCATTTTTGAAGATCACAGGCAGTCATTTTGTAGATTGTCCCTCAATTTGGGTTTGTCTATATTTTCTCATGATTAAACCTAGGTTATGCATTTGTGGGGCCAGAATACCACAAAAGGGATGGTAGTTCTCATTGCATGGTATCTGATGGCCCACGATGACTATTCAGTGTTGACTGCTTGGTTAAGGTGGTGTCTGCCAGATTCCTCTGCTGCAAAATGACACTGTCTTTCGCTTCAGAGTATTTTATGAGGAGATACTTTGAAACCAGGTAAAATCTGTTCTGTATTTCACCTAGTCTTTTTTTTCTGGTAGTTGTGCTGGGGATCAAGCCTGGGCCTCATACATACTAATCAAGTGCTCTATCACTGAGCTGCACCCCCAGCTTTTCATTCAGTACTTTTAACATCTTCTGATATTTCTTGCCTGAATGAATATTTGAGGTACTGATTATCCGATGATGGTTTTCTGGTTCCATCATTCCTTTTACTTTTATCATTTGGCATTTTACTTCAAGGAAAAGCTTTCTCCTCTTCCCTTATATTTATTCATTTATTTATTTATATCAGTGCAGACTCAAAGATTCCTATTTTATTGAATTGGTTTCTTTATTTGGGTGCTCCAGTTGTCTCAGATCTGGCCACTGGCGCCCCTTTAAGCTAGCTTTTTCTGCCCTTTTGGTTATCCCCATTTTTCTTTGAGCATAAAATGTTTTAGGCTCATGTTGTTCTTCTCTGATTTAGCCCTGGAACCAGTCATATCTCCAAGGAGCACTTGTTGCTTTGTTGTGGAGAATGGTCTTTAGAAATGCAGATCTGGATGCTAGGTAGACTCATCACCCTAGGGCCTTGCAGTGGACAGCCCTAGAAGTGTGCATATGTGTATATGTACGTGTGCACATTCACATCTGTATTTCTATATCTCCATGCATTGAAAATAGAGGTTAATATTAGTACTTCCAATTCCAGTTCAAAACTACAGGGCACATTGTAGTGCTTTCTATATTTTTGTGTCTCTGATCCAACAGTGAGAAATCTGTGTTCCATTATCTTCAACATATTTATTTATTTACTTAGTTCCCTCTAATGTAGTCAGTTTCCTGACCTTGCTGATCCATCGTCCCACTCACATGCCCTCCCTGTGTGGATTTAGAGCCCTATGGGGCTGTGGCCCTCCTTAGATAACTTCCTGTACTGCCTGGGGTTTCCCTTCCAACCCCATGGGCCATTTCTTTCTGTGGGCACTGGCTGCCATTGGGCTACAAGAAGGAATGTTGGTCAAGTAATTCAAGTTAAAAAACAAAACACAAACTTTTGTAGGTCAATCAGATAATCAGAGCTTGACTAGTAGACCAGATGTGAGTTTACTGTGATCTCTGGTCTAGACATTTTGAAGGAAATGGTGATCTAAGGTGAATAAGATTGTTTAATGGGACTGTAGTGAGACCTGTAAGATCTGTTGGGAGGTGGGGGTGAGGATACATCCCTACCTCTCCTCTGTATGGTCTTCTTCTCTTTCCAGTGGGTTAGGAAACAGAGCAGTGCCTTTGTCCTGTAGAACTTTTCTGCTAAGCTGAAGCTTTTCCCTCCCTCTAATCCTTCTTTCTGTAGAAGTCCATTCTGTGACCTTTGCCAGGGTTCAGAATGAAATGCCCCTGTGAAAGAAAGATGAGGAAGAAGTCCGTGATTTTGTAAAGACAGAAGTCTTCCTAACAGAAGTCTTACTTGCCAAGGTAGATCAGATACCCAAAGTCAGGGTATCTGACTTTCCCTCCCTGGAATTCATTGCTCTTTTGGGAGAGAGGAGGATGTCACTGTGAGGAAATGTCTGCTCAAGGGCTGGCAGCCTTGGGGCGCCAGCCTGTGCCCCTTTGCATTTCACAAGAATTCAGAGTTGTTGTCTTGTTTCCGTTTAGAGAAAGAATCACTGTCGGTATGTAGAAGTGAGTTTTACTCACCACATGTGACATGATGAAGAGTAGTGATAACTCCTAGAAGTTTCTGGAAAATCTGAGATTTTTCTCAAGCATAGACATAAAGCTTGTCAAACTCYTATCCTTGAGCCATACATGCCGAGTCAAAATTTTCTTTGTCCACATCCTTTTTCCTGGCCTCATGTTTGTTTATTTTAGTTTTTGAGTTAAGCCTTTTTTTTTCCTTTTCACTTTTCTTTCTTTGGCTCTTGTTTATTTCTGGTACAGGGAATTAGGGAGCGGAGATAGTGGGTGGGTGAGAAGAAATAGAGAAGAGGAAAAATTTTAAATGCTGACCTTTAATGTGGTAAAAATTCATGTTGAYTTCATAGTCTGGGTAAGCATATGTAAATAATTTATAAATCATCTGAAAATAAACTTGTGGCCTTCCAGGTTTTTTTCACACACTTGGATCTGTCTCTTGGGAAAACCACTTTAGGGGAGGGTGATATGGTTATAGAGGTATGTAAACAGGGATTGATATTTACCATAATTATTTGCCTTGGATGGCCTTTTGTTGACAATGAGCATCATTGGAAAGTTTTCTCTCTTCCTGCTTACTTTCTTCAGGGGCACATATATTTTATGCCTTGGTCGTCTTTTGACAGTAGTCCAGGATATCAAGTTGCTTCCCTGTTTTCAGTGGGTTCCATGTGTAATCTCTTTATCCTTTGCCTTCATTTCAAATTTAAGAATTAGTCTCTTGCACTGTGCCCGTTTTTATGCTGTTCTGCTTTGTCTACTGTTAATGCTGCCATTATTGTTCTTTGTAAATGACTAGTACACATCAATTCTGTTCTTTCTATGGATGTGAGTTCCACGTCATACATTTCTATGCTGCTCTCTTTTTCTTTTTTGTGTACTTTTTCTCCATAGAATTCTATGGAACCAGGCACTATGTGGACACTCAGTAGATGTTTTCCTTACCAGCTAATGCCCCATTCATCCATAGCATCCTTTACATAATTTTGCAAATTGGGCACAATTATTTTCAATTTTCATCCTTCCTATTGATACAAGGTTCTGTATAAGAGATGCGGCATCTATGGTGATTGTAAGATAATGGATTTTGGATCAGGGCAAGTTGCTTCATCTCTCTAGGTCACATTTAGTTTTCCTATCTATTTTATAAATTAGAGATAATAAACCCTACTTCATAGAGTTGTTTTGAGGATTGAATTAACATGTGACATTTAGTATGAACAGCCTGGAGTTGGCAGTTGGGAGGTGTTCAGCGTTTCTTAGATAATGATGTCTCCTTTCTTTATCATTATGGTCTTGCTGATCCTCAGCCCTAGCCTGGGTTCTTGAACCTCTGTTTCTGGCTTTTAATGTGTGTCATTTCTTTCAGGTTTGCCACTGTGCGATATGACCAAGGAGCCAAGAACATTCGGAACCAGTTCATGCACCTGACAAACTACAGTGTGAACAAGAAGAGTGGAGACTATGTGAGGTACTGGCTGTGTCTGAGCCAGAAAGCAGGGAAGGCACACTGAGTTGTGGGTGTTTAGGGGTGGGAGGTTGAAGTGCTGCGCTGGAGCTTGATGTTAGGTTTCTGTCCATGTAACACTTATGGAAAGCTGCCAGGGTCAYGTGACGGTTGTGACTGTGCTGCTGCTCCACTGTTTGCCCTGCTGCAGTGTCACCTTTCTCTACTAAAACATGTTTTCATCATTTTGTGTTCTTCATTGTCTTCCTCTGACTTAGGGTTGGGAATTTAATAGGCATATTGCATGTTTAGAAGTCAACAAGTGAGTTCATTTCAACACTTGGAAAGCAGGCCAAAAACTTGACAAATATTTGTACACTTTGACCCAGCAGTTCCATTTCTAGAAACTTAACCTTGAAAGAGGGATGTATGACGGAATCAGAGATAAAGACTGTCCATTGCTGTGTATTATTAGGGGGAAAGCACATTATGTGCAACTGAGTTTCTTGCATGAATATATCTGATAGCTAAAGCTATTTATTTTTGCTGGGGGTGAAAAAGAGAGAAGGATATGGACTACTTAACTATAGGGGGTGGGACTGTGGGTAGGTGGTTTTTATTTTCTTTCTGTGTGTGCTTTTATGTATTTTCAAAAACAAATACTTATATGATCAGGAMAAAATGGGAAAACAAGAGAAATGAGGACATCTCAGAAAAGATTATGGTAGAAGGGAGCACCAACACAACTGTGTGGAAATATTCTTTTTGCTTAGTTTTTCTTTCATGCTGATAATTTTTCCAAAAGGTGAAAAAACAGAAAAGAAATCCAAATAGTAATTTTCTGTGCAGACTAAAAGAAAGAAAGGAAGGCAGGTATCTGGATGTGCTGGAATAGGTGCTGAAGCTGTTGAGGCCGATCAGTATCCTGTGGCCAATGTTAGGGGGTTGAAGATGTCATATCCTTCTCCTGGGAAGATGAGCAGAGATGCAGTGAGGTGGGACCCGGGGTTGGGGGTGAGGGCAGTTGCAAAGCACACGTTCCAGGTTGCAGGACTCTGCAGTCTCCGTGGGAGTCTGTCCCATTTGTCATCATACACCGTATCTAGTGGGATTCTTCATTGCTCTTACTGCCACTCTAGTGCACTCTCCCTTCATGGTGCCTCGGAAGATAGGAAAGAGGCCCAGTCCACACCAGAGAGGAGGAGCTTGCTTCACATGCCAAAACATGTGTGGGGTGAGCTCGTTAAAGTGCTGTGCTAGATTAGCTCATTAACCCCTCCCAACTCAGTTCTGGTCTGAAAATGGCACCCAGGGTGGTTTTGTCGACTCGAGTGACATTCASTTCTAAGGCCGGGTTGTTAATCCATTTTTGTTAAATTATTGCAACCATTCTTAATTTTGCTTATATCTTTTCACATGTTTCTTCCACTCTTTCATGATGCATAATTGTTTGGTTAAGGAAGAGTTTGCCTTCTTTTCCCTTGCCCTTTTCAATAAGGGAAACTATATGCATTTTAATTTCCACTTAAGAAATTGGTACTTAAGGATACATAACAAAAAAGACTGAGAAAAATTGGGTGAGAAGAAATCAGTGAAGTGAGTGTTTYTCTAAAAATTTCAAAGGACCAAGAAGGTTGGTCATAAAGAATCTTGTTTTACAGCTAGGCCTAGTTGCACATGTGACCTTGATTCATTACTTTGTTTCAGTTGTGACGATCCAGAAGTAGAGGATTATGGGAACAAATGGAGCATGAGTGCTATGCTTAGATACCTGAAACAAGAAGGCAGAGATACAACTGGTGAGTACCAGATCTTTTCCCTTCCTGGCTTATTCTTGTTTGTACAACTTTACCATGGCCTCTTGCCAGAAGTCCTACTCCTAACAGTAAATTGTATTGCTGAGATGTTCAGTGGGATGATTGTTCTTGGTTATTCACAAGATTGGGGACAAGCTTTATGAAACTTCCATTTCCTTATCTTGTTTCTAGTTTGGAAGGCAACTTTCTACTTTAATCCTTTGTGAATTTGGAAGGTTAAAGTCACTAAATTCAGCATTTTAATAAATTGCTTCCCTCAACATTGTCTCTGAGTTCAAATTTCTCTTAAGTTAACCCCTCATTTCTGTTGCTGAGTTGGAGAATGAATGGGCAGAGTAGAGTTTGAATATAAGGCTTAGAATCAAAGTGGGCCCATTGCTGAGCCTTGAGCAGAATGGGAAGCACTGTGCTGAAGACATCRTCTCGGTCTACAAGAGAAAAGGCGGTAGGGGAGGAGTGGGAAGAGACAGAGCCTACTTKTCCATTCTGTGTCTGTCTTCTGTCAAAGGAGGCTGCCTGAGTGTATCCCCAGACACTTCCATTCTTGACTGTGTCAACCTATTTATGGATATACCTGTCCCTGTCAGGCCCATTCTGAATATTGCTGCAGAGAGGTTTTGTTTTTTTTTTGAATGAGCATACATGCTTTTCCAATTATATTGTGACCTGGAATCTGGTCCTGCTAGGAACCAGGTCTTTCTTCATTTTTACCTTTTTTTTTTTTTTTCCCCCAGCATTGATGGCCCATGTGGAAGATCTGATCATTAAGACTATCATCTCTGCTGAGCTGGCTATTGCTACAGCTTGTAAAACCTTTGTCCCTCATCGCAGCAGTTGTTTTGGTAAGGAGCTCTGAAAGAGGCCTCTGTGTTTAGTGAAGAGGGTCCTGGGATGGGTTCTGGGGTAGAGAGCCTTAGTGATGTKTTGAGAGTGAGAGTTACTTGACACACTTTTCTCTCTAAGCTCAGGTAGTGTGTGCAGATTCTCCTAAGAGGCCAGTGGTGAGCTTAGTTGGAATTCCCCCAGGAGTAACTAGCTTTCTGTGTGGGAAGCAGGCATTGGAACTGAAGTGTGGGTCTCTCTGTCGGTRCAGTCAGAAAAAGTCTGCAACGGACTGTACAGGAATCCAGCTCTAACAAATATATTCCAGAGCTCTTTGGCAGCCAGACTGGGAACTGTTCCAATATGCTCTGGCTGGTACCAGTGTGTGCTTTCTTCCATTTTCTGATGACTCCACCTTTTTTGTTCTAGTCTTCTTTCTAGTGGGTTCCTTTTCCTCCTCCTCTTCCTCCTCCTCCTCCTCCTCCTTCTCCTCCTGCTTTTTCTTCTTTCTCCTCCTCCCCCCTCTCCTTCTTCTTCACCCCCAAGCTGATTGCACAGAGAAGGAGAAATAAACAGTTCACTACCACCAAGTAAGGAAACCCCTTTCCTTCTGACCCACTAGCCATGATGRTAGCACTGAGGGTGCCTGTGTACATCTGCTTTCTTTGTGGATAGACACTTGTTAGTAACTGCCAGTGTTGATGTCTCTAAAGTCACATAAGCTTTYAGTAGACATGAGGCCTGGTTGGTAAGGTGCACTAGGGTCACCAGTAGGGAGGATGCTTAAGTGTGGTATGGGATAGWACAACCAGTAAGGACGTAAGAGGCACAGCTTTTGCTTGTGAGGAGGCAGGGTAACAGAAGAATAAAGGGGACAGAGGAGAGCAAGGAAAGGGGAAATCCTGGGGAATGATATTGGCCAAATTACATTATATTGTATGTGTGTATGAATATATAGTGACAAATCCCACCATTATGTATAACTCTAATGCACCRATAAAAACACGGARAAAAAGGAACATGGGCTTTAGAGACTGACAGCCTTAATTTTTTCTTAAATTTATTTTTATTTATTTATTTTTATTGGCACTGGGATTTCCTGGCCCTTTTTATTTTATATTTTGAGACAAGGTTTTGCCAAGTTACCAAGGCTGGCCTTGAGCTTATGATTGTCCTGCCTCAGCCCCTCAAGTCACTGGGATTTACAGGCATGTGGCACCAAGCCCTGTAGTCTGATTGCCTTAATTTGAAATCTGTTTGCACCCCTTACTAGTTTGTTGATTTGCAGCARGCTTTTCTAATCCTGCTTTCTGAACTCTGAAGTGGCAGCAATGATGGCGTTTGTCTCCTTAGAGGATCACAAAGATCAAATGAGATGATGTATGCATAGTGCTTGGCATCGTGTCTGGCCCTTATGCTCTACTCAGTAAAAATTATTTTTAATTATTTTTTATAATTAGACATTATATTTCTTAATATCTTTAATGAATTATCATAATAGCCTGTACTCAAGAGGCACTAGAATAAAGGTACTGTTGAGACTCTGAATATAATCTGTAGATAGATTAGGACCTACAGTTGCACAGGGAAAAAAGAGGTTGTCMTATCTTTTTAAAATGTATACCCAGGGTTGATGTCTTCTTAAATGGCTTCCARAGCTATTTTACTAACTCTGCTAGTAAAATAGAAACTTGATATGACCTTTAAGGTCTCTAAGGATCTGATCACAGCTGACTTTTTTAGAATTCTGTTTTCCCTGTTACACCTTATAACTCAKCATTTCCCTACTGTATCTCTTGAGCATAACAAGCTTTGGTGTCTCAGTTCTGCCCTCCAGCTAGAAAACCCTCCTGTCTGCCTTGCACATTGTCATTTCTTAAGACTCAGCTCTACATTGCATCCTCTGGAAGCCTTGCTTAACGTAGCACCCACTTGTATTTCCTCCCCCATGCTGGTACGTGCCTGTATCATATTGTGATGTCTTGTTTACATGTATACTTCCTGGATGTCTCTGAGTTTATTCTTGAATTCTTTTTTTTTCTTTTTGTGGTGCTAGGGATTGAACCCAGGTCCTTGTGCATGTGAGGCAAGCATTCTACCTGTATCTGTGCTGTATCCCCAGCCCTATTCTTCAATTCTTAATAGTCACCATGTCTCCCTTCCAATGTCATCCTATTTCTGTCAAGCCAAATCTTTCACTATTTCCTTGGACCTCCGAGGACTTTTTGTACCCCTTTGCCTTTGCACCTGCTTTATCTGTTCTGTGGTTGGTCTGACTTTCTTATGTTACTTTATCTATTAGCTCATTGACATCTTTCAAGACAAACCCAGTTGTCACTCCTCTGCTAACCTTTTTCCTAACTCTGCTAGTCGAGGTTAGACTCTTCTTATCCTCTAACCTCGGCACTCTGTTCATAACTTTGCAGTAGCACCTGTGTGTCATCTAGAGTCATCTTTGTGTTTATCTCTCCTACTGGACTGGCAGCTTCTTGAGAACAGTAACCCTCCATTGGTTTTCCCCTCCAGTGCTGAACCGCAACCCTTTTTCTTAGAAGATACTGGAAGTGTCCATTGAAYGAGTACTTGGTTCTAGCTTTAATTGCATTTTGGTGGGTTGACAGCAGGCTTCCCAATGTACCTGGTTTGGTGAGGGCCTAAAACACTTAGATTTTATCGCAATCTGTTTGAGGATGGGAGTGGAGTTATAGAATATAGCACCAACTTCCAAAATCTTAGATTGAAGTAATAAATAAGTTTCATTCTCCATCTACTTGGTTCTTATATGAGGATAAATTTCACCTAGTTGTTGGTGTAAAACTGTTGTTGTAAGCAGTTAATCATGATAGCTTCTCTGTTTTATTATCTGATTAATTTTTGAAACCTTAGGAATTTATTACCTTACGTTAGTAGAACATTTTGATGTGAAAGAAGCAGTGACTTATCTCTGACTCAGTGAAATCCCCCAAGTCCATTTGATCGGCGTGGGTCTCCGTTCCCCTTCCTTCTTATGTTCAGTTTCTATAAACTAAGTGCATCTGGACTTTTTTAAGTTGTTGACTGTCTTCGTGGCTTTTGTGGTTCTAATTCCATTTCCTGTCAGCTCTGGGATTTTGTGTGCTTCATTAACGCCCCCTCCACCGTCAGATATGATTTTGTATACGTGTGTGTATTTGTGTCTCCTTGCTTCCCTCTGACTCTTAGCTTCCCTTGGGATTTAAGTTACAAGGAGTAAGCTTTTTGTTTTTGTTTTTGTTTTGTTTTTCTTCTCTCTTTCATTTGTGTTAGAATAAACAGGAATTGAGAGCTTCCCAGAARATTTTGGCTTAAACAGAGTGTTGGTGCTTTTAGAAGTAAATAGTCCAGAGATGGGGTTCCCTATACTCATTTAGTTGTTGTCCCTGACCTTCCATCATATGGATCTCTGCCAGGAGCACTCCATTACCATCCTGTTTCTGTCCTGTGGTTGTTTCTTGCCCCACCATCTTCGATGTCTGTTTCCAGGTACCTTCGATATTCCCATTCATTCTTTTATTTATTTATGTTTTTTGAAATTTTTCCCCCAGCTCTTGCTGTTTGAAGACGGCTCTTGCCGTCTTTAGCAGTGAATTACCATCAACAATTTGTCCCTGTCAAACCAAAATTTACATGTAATGGTACATACATATACTTGCATTATATTGTCAGTGTTTATATATAGACTTAAATGTAGTCATTTAGTGCTTTTTCATAGATTGGTGCATCTAGAAAGACCTTAGAAAATAATTAGTTCAGATATAGAAATGGAGATCTTGAGAAATTAACATGTGCCTCAGGGTTTAGAGCTAGTAAATGAAAGAATTTGAATGAAAGAGACTGAGCCTGAAGAACCAGGCTTCAGAAGTCACATTTTGGTAATCCTAGTATCTCGATCATGAAACTTCATTTATACAATGTTTGATGCCCACCCCAACAAAACAGATTTTTGACAATTAACTTTCACTGCCTTCCAAGATGGCAAAAATATGCCACCATATGAAATAATATGCTTCAATAGCARCGTTTGAAATATGCTAAGGAACTTGGCACTGTGAGATAACTGACTATGAGAACAGCCTTTTTGACCAGTCGAAGAAAAACAGCCAAAAACAACAGGATGTTAGCTGTGCTCTAAAGATGTTGCTGCTGACAGTGGTTTTATCTTTGTGTGTGAAGATGCCTAAAGTCATGTGCTGTGACCAAGTGGGATCATGTGGATCAGATGTGAGACCACTTAGGGAAATTATCAGCCTGGCCTTGTTTTGATCAGAGACCAGTGAGTTGTTAGCTCAGGGCCACCCATGCCCAGTACCTCTGTCTTTGCTGAATGAAATCTGGTTTGGCCTTTTGTTGATTCCTCAGGGTAAACTGAAGTTTTAAAGGGAGCAGGCCCACAAACCAAGGAGTGAATGTATAGTTCACGCTCTCCAGTAATGTAAACTACTTGACCTCCAACAGAATAAGAACGAAAGTCAAATGTTCACTTTTCAAGATAAGATTATCTTTTCCACTTTACCCCTTGGTCCTATTTAGTTGGGAAGGGAAGTTTACTGCAGAAGGGACTTAGTAGGTATGGGAAGTACCTGCTGTTTGTCAAGCAAACGAAGGTTATTTCCTTCAGTCTTCAACAGTATTGTTGGTCTTTATTACCAACCAGATACCATAAAACAAGGATTAAAAAAAAAAAAGATTCAGGAAGGTTAAGGAAGTTATCCTAGGTCATGCAGCTAATAAGTGGCAAAACGGAGTTTGAGAGCCAGGTCTCTCTGGCTCTTTCTCCACCCACATAAAGACAAGTTCTGATGAGCCTGCCACTTTTGGCATGCCTCATATCCTGGATTCTCCTCTGCTCTCTTGTAACTAAATCTCAGGAAAAATGACCTCATCCTTCCTAGCAGATCATGCCTGTGAAAGGGCGCTCTTTCTGCTCTAGTCAGGAGTAACCTCTCCTAGATGGTCCTTTCAATCTGCCTTTGTATCTGGAAACCAGATACCGTATTGAATT